AGCACCTCCCTGTCGTGTTTTTGGGTCACATTTGGGGGTCTGGGGGTGTTTTGGGGTACCCCAGGGGGTTTTTGGGGTCACACCTTGCTGTCCCCCGTGGGGAAGATGACCCTGAGCACCTCCCTGTCGTGTTTTGGGGTCCCACCTTGCTGTCCCCCGTGGGGAAGATGACCCTGAGCACCTCCCTGTCGTCCCTCATGCGCTCGAACTCGCGCTCCAGCTCGTTCTGGATGTGGGCGTTGGACAGGATGTCCTTCACCAGCTCCTCCTGCAGCGTCCGCCGCAGCGCCCGCTCGTTCGTGTAGTCGAACTTGAACCTGGGACCCCCAAAATGGGTTGGGAATTGGGCAGGGGGAGAGCCAGGACCTCAAAATGGGGCAGGAGAAGCTCCAGGACCCCCAAAATGGGTTGGAAATGGGGCAGGGGGAGATCCAGGACCCCCAAAATGGGTTGGAAATTGGGCAGGGGGAGAGCCAGGACCCCCAAAATGGGGCAGGAGAAGCTCCAGGACCCCCAAAATGGGTTTGAAATGGGGCAGGGGGAGATCCAGGACCCCCAAAATGGGGCAGGGGGAGATCCAGGACCCCAAAATGGGTTTGAAATTGGGCAGGGGGAGATCCAGGACCCCCAAAATGGGACCCAGATTGGGCAGGGGGAGCTCCAGGACCCCCAAAATGGGGCAGGGGGAGCTCCAGGACCCCCAAAATGGGTTTGAAATTGGGCAGGTGGAGCTCCAGGACCCCCAAAATGAGCTTCAGGTGGGGCAGGAGGAGATTCAGGACCTCAAAATGGGACCCAGATGGGGCAGGGGGAGCTCCAGGACCCCAAAATGGGGCAGGAGAAGGTCCAGGATCCCAAAATGGGGCAGGAGAAGATCCAGGACCCCCAAAATGGGACCCAGATTGGGCAGGAGGAGCTCCAGGATCCCAAAATGAGCTTCAGGTGGGGCAGGGGGAGATCCAGGACCCCAAAATGGGACCCAGATTGGGCAGGGGGAGCTCCAGGACCCCCAAAATGGGACCCAGATTGGGCAGGGGGAGCTCCAGGATCCCAAAATGAGCTTCAGGTGGGGCAGGGGGAGATCCAGGACCCCAAAATGGGACCCAGATTGGGCAGGGGGAGCTCCAGGACCCCCAAAATGGGACCCAGATTGGGCAGGGGGAGCTCCAGGACCCCAAAATGAGCTTCAGGTGGGGCAGGAGAAGATTCAGGACCCCCAAAATGGGGCAGAAGAAGCTCCAGGACCCCCAAAATGGGGCAGGGGGAGATCCAGGACCCCCAAAATGGGTTGGAAATTGGGCAGGAGAAGCTTCAAGACCCCAAAATGGGACCCAGGGTGGGCAGGAGAAGGTTGGGGACCCCAAAACGTTCCCAACCCTTGGGAGGAGCTCTTTGCTGACCCCAAAACGAGCCCAACCCTTGGAAGGAGCCCCTCAATGACCCCAAAATGACCCCAACCCTTGCAATCACCCCCTCCACGACCCCAAAACGACCCCAACCCTTGGAAGGAGCCCCTCCATGACCCCAAAACGAACCCAACCCCTTGGAAAGAGATGTTTGAAGACCCCAAAACGAACCCAACCCTTGCAATCACCCCCTCAATGACCCCAAAATAAACCCAATCCTTGGAAGGAGCCCCTCAATGACCCCAAAATGAACCCAACCCTTGGAATGAGACCCTCCATGACCCCAAAACGAACCCAACCCCTTGGAAAGAGATGTTTGAAGACCCCAAAATAAACCCAACCCTTGGAAGGAGCCCCTCAATGACCCCAAAACGACCCCAACCCCTGGCAGGCCCCCCCTCCACGACCCCCCAAAAAAGGGTCTGCAGCCCCCCCAGGGCCCCCCCTCTCTCACTTCTTCTCGAAGGCCTTGTTGGAGGGTTTGAGCGTGGCCAGGTTCTGGAACTCCACGCTCTCCCCGGCCAGCCCGTCCTCGCCGTAGCGCAGCTGCACCACCTGGTTGATGGAATTGCGCACCGTGGCGTCGTATTTCACCATCACCGACTCCATGGACTTGATCAGCCGCCGCTGGATGTACCCTGGGGGGGCCACAGGGGGTCAGGGGGGGCTGGGGAGGGGTTTGGGAGGGGTTTGGGGGTCTCAGGGGGTGTCTGGGGAGGGGTTTGGGGGGTCCCAGGGGGTATCTGGGGGGTATGGAGGGACATGGTGTCGTTATTTCACCATCACCGACTCCATGGACTTG